TGGTATTGAATTAAGTCTGTAAAGTAAGTCATATTATAAGAAAAAGGACTAAAGACTAAAAACAACAAAAACATCAAGATGGTGTTGGAAGGGGTAGTGAATGACTGATTTGATGAAGACCCAAACAGAGCTTCAAGAAATGAAAATGCATTTTGATTACAAACTCACTAAGTACCAACTTCCTCCATCATCTGGCCTCAGTTATATTGACTTGTCCATTGGCTGTCAGTCCTCCAGGAAAGGAACATTTTAGGAGGATAATCCAGGATGACATAGCTATGCTGCCATGAATCTCAGTCTTAGTGGACAAGGTATGTGATTTTGTAGATGGTCACAGCCTCTAGTGGGGAGTGGGAATAAAGTGATAAAGAACTGTGAAAGGGGTTTTTATGGAACTTTGAGAGAGGCCAGTCTTGCACTGATAATTTGGAGATGGAGCAGGACCCAGGGAGAGAAGAAATTCCGAGGAGGATGCTGGGAAAGCCTGCCTATTCATGAAGTAGGCATGGCCTGTGGAGGTTGAAGGAGATGATTGCGATTTTAGCTGTCAGTTAACATGACTCATTTAAAACCCCATTTGTAGGGTTACATCTGAGGGGGAGGGAATAACCTGTTCTCCAGGCATTGCACATAGTACAGTGGCAGGAGCATTCTTTCTGTACTGAAGCCCTCGGTAAGTGCTTAGCCTTCCCCTGACCCCACCTTTGTTTAATGATGTTAGGGAGAAAGTAGGGACTGGAGTGGTGACTGAATTTCCTTTATCAAACCCCTCAGCGGGTACTTTTGGTGACTGGCTGTTTGAATTTAGGTTTTATTTTCTTTATGGGTGTTAAAATACATACCTCTTTCAGCTGTATACCGATCCTTCTTAAGACTTGTATGGTCAGTTGGGAGTGCATACCTGGTTTGTGTTCATCTCTTATTTCTGGATCAGGGCTGAGACCTTAACACATGTCCTTTGCATCCCTGCCTCCTATAGACTGCAAAAATTGATCAATTAAAAAAAAAGGTAATAAGCAGATTAGATATAACTCAAGATGGAATCAGTGAACGAGAAGGTAGGTCCAAGAACATTACCCAGAAAGTAGCAAAGATAAAGAAATTAAAAATGAGAGAAAAGTTAAAAAATATTAAGGACAGAGTAACATCACACACACACACACACACACACACACACCCACCCACCCACCCACCCCCACCCCCCATATACAAAAAAACACACATATGTAACCTTACAAAGAAGTGAATGGAGATTAGAAGGAGGCAATATTCAGAGAGATACTAGTTGAGAATTTTCCTAAGGACAAATACTTGAAAATTTTGGCTTAAAAGCATAAATAACCACATTATGCATACATAAAACTAAAGGCATGGTAGTAAGTGCAGCAGAGCACAATTTAAACAAAAGAAAAGTCTGGGGTTTTTTTTTGTTTTTTTTTTTAAAGAATAAAGAAAGAAACCAGAGAGAAAGATGCATATAATCTACAAGGAGGATGTTTATACTGACAGCTACAGTAGATACCAGAACAGTGTGAAACAATATGTTAAAAGTGCTGAAAGAAAAATAAACCAACCTATGATCTAGATCCATCTAAACTATGATTTAACAGAGATGATGAAATAAATATTTCAGACAACCTAGGATTATATTACTAATGGATGTTTACTTAAAGAATTTTGAAAAATACATTTCAAAATTGAAGAAAATTAAACCCAGAGAAGGGAGTAAGGAGCAAAATGGAATGGTGAACAAAGATATGTAAGCATATACTGTTTAATACTTATAATGATTATAATGGTGTCTGCTTAAGGAGTAAAAAGATAGTATAGAACTAAAAAATTTGGGGAATAATGTATAAGATATAGAAGGATGATTAGTGATTTTCTTATGGTACAAAAATTATGCATCAGTAAAGTTTTAAAAATTAATATGTGTTACTTGGGAAAAGGGGTTATTTACAATGTCATCCCAAATAATATGCCTTTAATTAAAATTTTTGATAATATTCTGATAGTTTTAGTTGGCCTGTGATATATTTCTTTTAAAAAAATAAAAGTCTCATGGGAAAAATGAGAACATAATTTAGAACATAATTTTGGGGAGAATGCTACAGAAAGTCGTCCTCCTACCAAGTGTGAATTACTTTAAAACTATAGCAATTAAGAAAGTGTGTTATTAGTGCAGGAATAGATAGACCATTGGAAATGAATATAGAATTCAGAAATAGAACAGCACTTACATGGAAAAGACGGCTTGTTACCAGATGGTGTTGGGGTTATTGGTTGATACAGGGAAAAAAAAAGTAATAGCTGGTCCTTTTATCCATGCAAATAAATTCCTCAACAGATAAGTTCCAAAATGTGGCAAACAAACAAATATATATTTTAGAAAGAAAAAGTGCAGTCTCAGTGTCCAGAAGAATTATGAAGACATGAAATCTACCTACTACAAAGTACAAGTTAGATGAACTACAGTGAAATAAAAACATCTGTAAATCAAAAGACATCATAAAGAAGGTGAAAATACAAACTAGAGTTGAAAAAAAGATATTTGTAACTCATAAAATCAATAAAGGGTTAGTATCCAGAATATATTAAGAAATTATACAAATAAGGTAGTAAATCAACAAATGGTATTACTGGGTAGTTCACAGAAGAGTAATTTTAAGTAGTCTGCGAGGAAACAAAAAGTTTCTCATGCTTATTATTGATTCTAAAAATGTAAATTAAGCACCAGGATATGATTTTACACCCATTGAATTGACAGAAGTTATTGTCTGATAATGTTGTGTTGGAGACCATGCTATTGGGAGAGTCAGTTGGTACCGTCCCTTTGAAAAAAAATCTCTTGATATTTATGAAAATTGAAGATGCCTATGCCCTATGATCCAACAATTCTGTTGTTAGCCTTGTATCCTAATAGTTATTCTTCATATTTTTTTCTGCTTCAGATCTCTTTTCAAGGCTGGTGAAAGCCGCAATAGTGTTTAAGTTCATGTAATAAAATAGGATTATAATGGAAACAAATATTGAATAGTTATCAAAAAGTTTTCAGTTTGTGATTACTGTGCATTACTAGTACATAGTAATAAAAGCTACTGAAAGTCTAATAACTATCATAATTTCAAAGTAATGATTTGTGTAAATGCTGTTTTGAGATGATCTGTGACCACTGTTATGTGACAGGGAAATAATCTAGGCCTGTTGGTGCCAAAAATCACAGGTACTACTGAATGCTATTAGGTGTATACATTGAATAATTAAAGGAGATACTAAATTTTAATTCATGGTAAATGAAAAATAAAGATTTGTTTTCACACATGTTCACAAACTTACCTCAAAGGGTTTTGTGGACCCCAAGTTTAAGAACATGTGTTCTATAGATACCATTGAATGTATGTCCAAGGAGATTAATATTACAACACCAGTACAGTATGGTAGTGGCAAAAAAATGTGGAACAACTTAGAGATTCATTAGTAGGAGATTTCATAAATTGTAATACAGGATGGGGCAAAAATAGGTTTACAGTGGTTAGTACATGAAACAGTTTATTTTATATTATTATTAATTATTGTATTGTTTTCCATATGAACAACTATAAACCTACTTTTGCCCAGCCCTGTATATTCAGACAACAAATAACTGTGTAGCAGTGATAATGAGTAGATCCAAGTTATAATGATATGGTAGCTATCTTGTAATGTCTCCTTATATACCATCATGGATGATCTCAATATTGAGTGAAAAAAACAAGCTTCCAAAGAGTATGTACTTTGTAACATCATTTTATGAAATTTTAGTATTTCATATAAAGTATAAAAACCCATTTGGAATGGTATGTTCAAATTCAGGGTAGTAGTTATTCAAGGGTAAAGAATTGTAATGGGAAGGGCAATCTAATTACCATATTTTGACATGTATAATGAGCTCCTTTGTATAATGTGCACCCACAAGGTGGGCCTAAACTATCTGGAAAAATCATTTTAATTTTTAAATTCAATTATTTATTTATATTTAGAAACAAGCCGATTATCGTATTATCGCATTCCAGGGTATTATTTTACATATGGATATCATTATTGCTTTCTAGAGTTACACTTTTAATGCATAAGCATAAATAAAAAATTAACAACATTTACATAGATACGGAAGTAGTACTACCCAAGTATAGTGTGCATCCTTATATTCCCTCAAGAATTTGAGCAAAAAAGTACACACTATCCATGGCAAAATATGGTAGATGAGGACTTTAAATTATTATCTGTGATGTTTAATTTTTTTACTGTATGATGGACACATTACTTTATTGTATGCCCAGAATATTTTATCAAAATATGTATTACATGTTTTGACAGAATATTAATGTGAAAGAGATAGTTCCAATTTTAACTTACAGAACAATTCAGAGTTTGTATATGAGACCTTGTCAAGGGAAAAACAACAAATTAAGTGCTTTCCCCCCAGTTTACCTCAGGAACTAACCTGTGAAGCACCAGGTACTTTAAATGTGATGAAAACATACCAAGTCGATTATTTAATTGTTAAAACAGCCCTGTGAGGTGAAGGTATATATTCATAAGAGAAATTCTGAACAAAGCAAAGACAGAACCAGAATTTGTTTACATCTTTCTACATCCAAAACCCATATTTGTTTAATGTTATTAAATTGCATATCTCTAGCAATAGATGACTTGTTTCGTAAGTGGCAAGTTAACTGCACAAACAGAATGAGACTGTATCTGAGGCATACATTAATAGTACTGATAATAAAATAATCTCAAGCATGACTTTATAATGCAGAATTTTCTTTGATATAGTTTAGCCTGTTTTCACACTCGTGATAGGCTGATGAAGTTATTAGTTATTAGTAAACTTAGTGTTACACTGTTCCTGTTTTAACACTGTTGATTATTATAATTTAGTATGTTCACCATCTAAATTTAACTGTAACTTGGTGTTTTATTATTTTAAACCACATTGTTTTTATTTTTGATTGTAGGATCGAAAGTTAACAAAGTCTGAGAGGCAGAGATTTAAAGAAGAGGCTGAAATGTTAAAGGGTCTTCAGCATCCCAATATTGTTCGATTCTATGACTCCTGGGAATCCACAGTGAAAGGAAAGAAGTGCATTGTTTTGGTGACTGAACTTATGACATCTGGAACACTTAAAACGTAAGTTCATCAATATAAAAACTGACCAAGAAGTATGAGAAAACTTGTTCTCTTATTTTAGGCTTATCAGTCCTACTTTTGTTGTCCTAAATAGGGAATAGTCCCTTTAACTGTTAGTATATTAGAACATTTTTCTGCCTACAACGTCATCTGGTGTATAAAGTGATTCGATGATTATTTATTGGTAAGTATTAAAATGACACACTATTATTTCAGAATAAATCTAGTTTTTTTTAAGTCATAGAACTTGGTTTTTCTAAAATTGAATGGCTAAGGGATCAGAAATTAAATGACTGACAAGGTAGCCCTCTAGTGGTTAAAATGAGGTTGAAACTTATTGAGAAGCTTTACCTATTACTACATCACCTTGTATCAGGCAGTTTGTTCTGTACCTATGCAACTGTTGCACACTGTATCGTGAACCTTATCACTAGGTAATTCAATTTCTATAGCGTTAGAAATTGAAGCAAAACAGCTAGACCTATCATCTCTTTCAGAAATACAGGTAGGTCAAATGCAGAAATTCCCTGTTCCCTATTATAGAGAATTGTAAGATAATAGTTGGAGTATGCCTCTGGAATCTCAGGTCTTTTAGAGTATCTATTTGTACTTAGAGGGGAAACTAGTGTAAATTATATGGTGTCGATTATTTATTGTAGAGGGGTTGAACTTTTAAAAATTGTCTTTATAGTGTGTATTGTATATTTTATATATTACTTTCTTTAGTTAATGCTACAGAGCTCATTAATCCCTTATCTTAGAAACATAGTCTTGTATCTTCTGGATGTTAGTCACTCACATGTGCTCTTGGATGCTTAAAACTAACATGTTGGAAAGCTGACTAATTATTTCCCCACTGCAAATTCTAATTTCCACCCAACTTCTGTAATATTGATGGCAACGCCCTTATCCTAGTCATCCAGACTTCTTGTCATTCACGTGCCTGTTTTTCCACTAGACTCTTCTCCCTACCACTGTGCCTGAAACTTAAATATTTGAATGAATTAAATATTCTAATATTGAATATTTGAATTATATGACAGTAATTTTGTGTACACTTACATCTTGAGATTCTTTTCACTGATTTGGATACTTAATGGATTGTCCACAGTCTATCAGGCACACCCTACAAGAATACCCTACAACAGTTTACTTTTTTTAAAAACTGTAACGAGGGGCTTTAGTTAACAGAATGTGCTAAGTCCCTATGGGATGACCTCCCCCTTACCAATAAATTAAAATGTGAAATATAATAAAAACTCTTTCAATATGTATCTAAGCTTCAAAAAAGGGGGTGGGGTGGGCTAATCTCCAGATAAAAGGCAAAGAAGAAGTAACTGAAGGCCAAAACAGGAGCTGATGCCCTGGCATTCTGTTGGGATTTCACACTGCTTATGGAGCTTGAGGATTGAATACTAGAGTTTCAATGTCTGTGCCAGGACTAAAGGCCTTAGAATTCAGTAGAAAGGGAAACTGGAAGTTAGCTTGTGTCCAAAAACTGAATTACTGAATTATCCATGTAAAGGAGAACTCTGCACCCCAGGGAGTGAAAGTTGCAAGGAATTTTGCCCCCCTCCGCAGGACTTTGGATGAGAGAGGAGTTCTGAGGAAAAATATCTAGATGCCCAGGTCATATGTAGATGGCTCTCTAATCTATATTTATACTACTTGTTTGGTGCAGGAATCCCAAGACTAGGAATGAACATAATTGTTTCAGAATCCAACAACTCCAAGGGACATTTTTGTATTTCATTGGGCATAGTATCCATGGACAAAACAGTCTCTAGTGAGGTAGAATTAAATTACCTCACAGTTAAATTATAAACCAGTAAAGATGATCAGCTATAACTGGAAAATAGTACCACAGTAATTAAAGATACTATAGACAATTCTGAAAGTGATTGCAAAGTAAGTATGTAACTATAAAAAGATGTCAGTAAAGATATATGTAGGTATATAAAGTATATACAAATATAAAGTGATAAAAAAAGGAATAGAAACCATAATGAAGAAATATAATGTCATTAAAAAAAATTCAGGCATAATTAGAAGAGATCCAAAGAACTAGAAATAATAAATCATTAAAATTAAACCTTAAGCGGTTAGGTTAAAACAGCTGACTAGATTGGATAGAAAATAATAAATATGAAGAAATCAGAAAGCAGAAAAATGTGGAAAATATGAGAAAAGAAGATGAGACATGGAATGAGAATTAGATTTAATTTTACTCTAAAAGGAAAAATGTTAAGAAAATAAGGAAAGACAAAATTTGAGCAGAGGATGGTTCAAATTGCGACTGTATGATAGTCCTAAGCAAATAGATTTAAAACAAATCTACATTCATACCTGGAAGAATCTAGAACAATTAGGAACGTGGTAGCTTTTGCAGAGGCAAGTGGGGCAAAAGGAATGAGAATTAATTCCAAAATATATGCTTTTTGGACCTTTTTAGTTTCTACCTTTGTTTCACATATGTATAAATACTTAAATTGAAACAAACACCCATACATAAAAAATAAGATGGAAATATATGGTTTAGAAAATTTCATTCAGGTGATGGAAATAAAATAGATTTTTTTAAAAAATGAGGTGAAATCACTAACATAAAATCAATTTTTTAAAAGCCTTTAAAAAATATTTTGTTTATTTATTTTTAGAGAAAGGGGAAGGGAGGGAGAAAGAGAGGGAGAGAAACATCAATAGGTGGTTGCCTCTGGTGCACCCCCAACCAGGGACCCAGCCCGCAACCCAAGCAGGTGCTCTTGATTGGAAATCGAACCAGTGACCCTTTGGTTCACGGGCCTGCACTCCATCCACTGAGCATACCAGCTGGGGCTAAAATCAACTTTTTTAAAGTGTACAGTTCAGTGACATTTTAGTACATTAACATTGTTGTGTAACCACCACATCTACCGAGTTCCTGAACATTTCAGCACCATCAAAAGAACACCTGGTACCCATTAAGAGGTTAATAATGCCCATTCCTCTTCCTACACAGTGTATCTTACACAGGTGGAGTTGCTTTTCTTGGTGATTTCAAGATTCTCTCTGTGTTTTTGGCTTTCAACAGTTTGACTGCATTTCTCATTGTGGATCTCTTTGCACTGGATTTTGTTGAGCTTTGCTAGTTCTGTATATTCACGTCTTAACAAATTTGGGAAGTTTGTGGCCAATATTTTAAAAACTATTCATTCTGCTCCTTTCCTCTCTTATTTGGGACTCCCATTTCATATATGTTGATACACTTAGTGGTATTCCACATGTCTCTTGTTTCTTAGGCTCTGTGGATTTTTTCTTTATTTTTTTTTTCTTTCTGCTCCTCACACTAGATAATTTCAATTGATTTATCTCTGGGTTTGCAGCTTCTATCTTCTGCCTGCTCAAATCTATTTTTGAAACCCTTAAGTGAAATTCTTATCATTACATTTTAGCTCCAGATTTTCTGTTTGGTTCCTTTTTTACAATTTCTGTCTCTTTATTGATATTTTGTTTTTGATGAACTAAAACTTCCTATACTGTAATATTCAGCAGCCATTGTTCTTACCATTTAGTCTTCCAGTTCTGTGGGATAAGTATGCTCATTTACCCCATTTAACCATGAGTTGGTTGTCAGTTTATATAAACTGCTTTAGCAATGAAAAGCTGATTAGGAGTTATGGTTATGAGGCTGGAACTTTCCAGCTACTAGGCTTTTCTTCAGTGCAGTTGGGCATGAGTCAACTGTAATGAAGGACTCAAAGATGCTGTGTCAAGAAGATTATTTATCTATCTATTTATCAGTTAATTAGTTAAGTCTTTCCTGCACAAATGATGTCTAGTTGTCACGTTTCCAGTTTGGTTCTTGTGACTTTAGATAATATTCCTATTTTTATTTTATTTTTAAAAAGATTTTATTAACTTATTTTCAGAGAGAGGGGAAGGGAGGGAGAAAGAGAGAAACATTGATGTGTGGTTGCCTCTCAAACGCCCCCCAAATGAGGACCAAGCTCGCAACCCAGGCATGTGCCCTGACTGGGAATCAAACCAGCAACCTTTTGGTTCCAGGCCAGTGCTCAGTCCCCTGAGCCACACCAGCCAGGTCAATATTCTTATTTGTTATATAAAATAGTAATAATAATAGCCCTGGCCAGGTGGCTCAATGGGTTAGAACATTGTTCTGCACACCGAAAGGTTACAGGTTCGATTCCCGGGCAGGGGACATACCTAGGTTGTGGGTTCGATCCCTGGTCGGGGCATTTATAGGAGGCAACCTGATTGATATTTCTCTTTCACATCGATTTCTTTCTCTCTCTCCTCCCCCCCCCCACTCTCTCTGTCTCTCTCCTCCTCCCACCCCCCTTTATCTCCCTCCCTCTTTCCATCTCCCTCTTTCTAAAGTCAGTAAACATATACTCAGGTGAGGAGTTTTTTAAAAATTGTAATAATAAAATTTAAAATGATTTTTAAATTTTTAAAAAATGAGACACAATTGACATACAACATTATATTAGTTTCATGTGTACAATATGATTCAAAAATTTTTATATATTACACAATGATCATCACTGTAAGTCCACTTAACACTTATCACCATACATAGTAACATTTTTTTATAATGAAGACTTTTAATATCACTCTCAGCAACTTTTACATAAGCAATACAGTATTATTAACTATAGTCGCTATATATTACATCCCCATGACTTACTTATTTTATAACTAGAAGTTTTTACCTTGGTTCCCTTCATCTTTTTTGTTCACCCCATTCCCTGCCTCTGGCAATCTCCAGTCTGTTCTCTATATCTATGAGCTTGGGGTTTTTTTCTGTGGTTTCTTTCTTTTTGTCTCACTTATTTATTGTAGTGTTGTCAAAGTTCATGCATTGTCGCAAATGGCAAGATTCTGTCCTTTTTTTTTTTTTGGGGGGGGGGGGGGGGGGGCTGATTAATAGCATTTTCATTTTAATAGCAGTTGAGAAGACAGTGATACTTCCTAGTGGCTAGAGTAAACTTGAAGATCTT